ACCCCTCGAATTTCATTTAGGGTTCCATTTTCCTTTTTGTGGGGAAGACTGACAAAATGGAATTGTGGAACCCCCCATCTTGGTATCTGAAGACCACATTAGATTGGCCTGCCATCCTTGCACATCACTTTGACTTGCAGTGTGCAGGACCATGCCATGAGCCGTAGGCCCCTCTGGAATGGCACGGCTCGCTGCACACATGATTTCTACTTGGGGACCGCTGTTCTGGGCATGTGCACAGCAGGGGACTTGCACGACGAAAGGTCTGGCAAAAAGAAGAGCTCGAGTGCGAAGTAACCTGCTTTCATGGTTCATTTGCCATCCTTGACCCCTTTCCAATGTGCGCCCTAACAGCTAGAGAGAATACACGCAAGCTTCCAAAGCAAGACAGGACATTGCACAGAATCCCTGCCCACGCGGCGGCGGCTTTTTGCGTCAAAGAGTGCTTTTTTTCCCCGATCAGGCTCCCCTTGTCTTACTCGAGAGGCTTGCCAGGATGGACTTTCCAAATTCTGCTTTGAGTCAGGAGGATTAACGCTTGCTGGAATCCAGCAATTGCTGGGGGGGGGGCGGGAACAAAACATGCTTAAATAGAGATAATGATAGAGGAAGCTGAATCTTTTCTTGTCTATTTGTGGGCGCCAAAAACATTTGAGGTGGAAACCGCCCGCATCGCTGCCATCATTGTGGCAGCCATCTCTGTGTGCTGGATTTGCGCCTGGGAATGTCTGGACAGAGAGAGAGAGAGAGACAAATAGAGAGAGGAGCTCAGGGCGCTTGCGATGCGACAATAAGAAAATAATGTGGCTAGTAGTGTTGGTTTATCAGGGCTCCTGAAAAGATTCATTCATTTGAAACATGGCTTTTTCCACCAAAATAAGGGGAAGCCACCATTTACCAGGTAATGTTTAGGTGTATAATGTAAGGATCCCTGCTTATGTTGGTTTATGGCTTTTGGAGCCCATCATTTCAGTAATGGCTCGGGGCAATTTCCCATTTGGCGATTACACTGTTGCAATCCGAGGGCAACCCCGCTTGGCTCAGTTTTGCGCTTTGTGCCTAAAGGGCAGGAAACACTGCTCTCGTGGCTGACAAACCTGGAGGTGGGGGATAGGGGGCCAGCATGACCCTCAAATCCAAGCGGAATTTTGGTAAAGTTTGCTGTCCAAGTCAGCACATGGCCAGATGGAGATTTTTATAGTTCGACGCACGACACTTGCTGAAACAAGTACCTTTGCAAAAGCCAGGCCTTCCTGAGATATTTGCCGCTCCCTTGAACCTTGATGTTTACTCCATATAGGCAAAACCGTGCTCAAGCCACGCAACCTTTGGGCGGGCCATGATCCTTTTCACCAGTCGTGCTATGGCATGAAGCGAGACAATGAACATGTAGGGACACGCACAGTGTCCGCGCAGCCTGAGGTGGTGCGCCGCGAGCGTCCCGCAGAGGTTACCATCAGCCTCTCATGGGCAGCAGCACTTGAGCCAGATGCGCGTAGCAAGTGGCTATCGCAAGCACTGCAGAGCATTGCATCCGGGAGAGCTCGTGCTAGCGACATCTTTGACGTGGTGACCCATGCCCGCTTTGCAGCAGGCGTTTCGTGTGCGGTCGCCACCCGGATGATGCAGGACTTGCAACGGCATGTTGGCCTGTTCCCACAGAAACTTGGACAGGCCCTTGCGGCGGACTCCTTTCCCTTAGCTGCCGCTGCCAAAGGGCCCGCGAAGACGGCTCCCAAAGTGAATCCTGAGGTCGAAGCCATGCTGGCGCGCTGCATCGATTTTGTGCGGCGGAACGAGTCAGCCATTCAGGCTGTGCACAACCTCGAGTCCAGGACTTTCCAGGTACAGCTGCAGCGAGAGAGGGAGACGCTCTGGGGAATCACCTGGGCACGGGAAGCCTTCCAGCAGAGACGGCGCGTGGTGCAGCAGTTGGTCCCCGGAAGCCCCGCCGCCAGGTGGAACGAGCAGAATGGGTGGACTTTGCAAGCTGGGGACGAGTTGGTGGCCGTGAACGGCCTCCGAAGCTGGGAGGACATGTCTTCTTTCAAGGACCTCCTTGAAGCACGCCTGACCTTTGTTCGAGCGAGGCCGGAGGAGCTGACGAAAGAGCCGGAAGGGCCTCGGCAGACCTTGAGACCGCCCAAGTTTGGGGAGGACTATTTGCTCGATGCTTCTGGCAGCGGGTGGTGGGGGCACATGAGCGGAGCCTGGCTGTTCAACAAGGCTGAGGGCATCTACTTCCACACCGTTACAGGAAAGCTGATCATGGAAGATTCCCAGACTGGTGACTTCATCGCTCTTGGCAGCGCAGGCGCCCCCGACTTGGCGCCGCCTGCCCGCCTCAAAGGTTGCATCCGTTGGTTCTCCAAAGGCTTTGGCTTCATTGCACCCTGGCCGGAGCTGCGGGATAGTGCCTCCAGCGATGTTTTCCTGCATCGAAGCGAGCTCCTTCCGCCAGAAGGGGAGCCGGCTGCACTTCCCGTGATTCCTGGGATGC